AATTTAATCTCAAATTAATATGAACAATTTCTCATTTTTGTCCCACCTCACCCCCTTCTTTTCTCACCTCCCCGCCTATTTTTTGGAGCTCTGCCCCAAAACTCCATTCAAAAGAGCGAGGGCAAGTGCCCGTCTGAAAAACTCCCCTTTATTTCTTGTCCCAGACATCTATGTTTTGCCAATGGTCAGCCAGCTCTGAGCAGCGTACCGTCCTGCCCCAGGTAAACAGGACTCGAGCAATAATAAACCATGATGGCCCTCTCGTCCTAGATCTTGGTTATAAACCCACCATAATCAGAGGCACAACAGAGGGTGAAGCCCAGCCCAACCCACCAGCCTGATCTTGTTGTATAATATGGGAATATAATATAAAAAGTTGTGATTTAACAGTATCTAACCCACACCGGGCAGGAAGTTGAAGGAAGGTGTTCCAGGGGAGCTACAACTGAGATTTGGAGATGTTCCCAGCCCAGCCTGGTGAAGGCACTGAGGAAGAGAAGAACCCCAAGCATGGGTGCAAGGGGGCAGGGTCATCTCGGTTTGCAGCCAAGGGACAGACCGACCTATAGTCCTCACTGGGGCTTCCTCTGTAGAGGATCGGTCATTGGCATGACCAGGATTTGCCTCCCGAGTTTCACTTGCGCAATCCTGGGGGGTCTGCTGGACCTCCAGCAGCTGCCCTACCTGGAGGGTCAGGATCAGCTGGGAAAAAGGCAGGGGGGCAGGGGGAAGAGCCATCGTGATGATGCAGCTGGAAACGTTCAGGGCATCCCACCGATGGGCTGCCGAGACAGGCTGCTGGAGAAAACGGCCCGGAAGCCCATTTTCTGCAGCTGCTTTGTTTCGGGGGAAGAAATCCCCAGTTGTTTCTTTTTCCTCTTCCCTTTAATTGCAGGTCGTCGGTAGGACCCTTGCCCCGTCCGTTGTCAATTCAGCAGCAGCTTTTTTCAAAGTTTTACTAATGTATTCAATGCGCTGTCTGCACGACACCAACAAGGCTGGCTTGATGTTGGCCGTGGGACCCTTTTCCGTCGCTCTTCTTTGTTATTATTTTGGCTTGCTCAATCAAGACCAAAGGGGGGGAAATGCAGAGGTGATGCGCTCGCCTTCTCTTCCTGGCGGTTCCTCCACCCCAAGGACATGTTGCGACTGGAGTTCCAGGGAAGAGGAATGGGGGGGAGGGAGGGGGCCATGACATCATCAACAATAGGTGCTGAAATCAAAGGCATGCCTTCCCTTTTCCCACGGTGACCTGATTAGCTGAGCTGGTGCTGGAACCTGTTCAGGCACCACCCAACTTCTGCACACGCCAATTCCTGCCGCATCGGAGCTGCCGAGCACGGATCAGCCGGTGCAGCAGCTGCGCCCCCTCCCTCCCACCGCCTCGCTTGCGCATCTGTGCATGCAGCAAGCCTGCCCACCTGTGCAGTCGGATGGGGAAACCTCGCGGCGTGTTTTCAAAGAAAGGAAACATCTGCGGCGCCGAAGAGTGGCTTTGCGCGCACACCTCCCACGACATTAATGTCTCACCTTGAAGCACATGTGTATCATCAGGGCGTGGGCTTTCAAAATGGTAGACTCTCGCAGGGAGGGTTACAAGAAGACAATGTTCTGATGCCGCTATTATAGATCGACTGACAAACGTGGGCTTCTGGGAAGGTACCGGCTCGGGAGGGCTACGCACGCGGGTTGCTTCGTTTCATTTATGTATTTAACGTGAGGCCACCAAACTCCAGACAACTGAGTGGCTTACCCACAGGGGCTCGACACCCACCCTAGCCCCAAGCCGGGGGGACCTGCCAGGTCTTTTCTTCAAAGGCTTTTCGAATGTCATCAGGGTGGGAGCCATACGGGTCTCGGGGAGAGGGCTGGGGTGCTCCAAAGGGCAGATGCCATGACAGAGAAGGTGGGCGCGCTTCCTAGGTCCCAGCAATGGCCCTCTTGAATTGAAGGGAGACAGAGCACACCCCCTGTGCCCCATCTCCCTGGACGGGCAGAAACTGCTGGAGAGTGCTGGTGCCTCAAGCAGCCAGGCCCTCCGCCCTGAAGATGACAACCGGCACCCTGAATTGTGTTCTGCACCAACTGAAGCTTCCAGGTGGTTCTTCACGGCAGCCCCAGGTGGGATGCATTGCGGTAGTCCAACTGGGGGGTGAGGAGGGTGTGAGCCACTGGGGTCCGATCCTCCCCTTCCAAGTAAGGCCATAACTAGCGCACCAGCTGGAACTGGAGAAAGCCACCCCCAGCCATGGTCTCCACCAGGAGGAGCCACACGTCCAGGAGGACCCCAAGTCACAGACTTGCTCCTTCAAGGGCAGTGCAACCCCAACCAAAAAAGCACGGGACCTAAAGCAGGGTTCCTCAACCTTAGCAACTTTAAGAGGGGTGGACTTCAACTTAAGAGGGGACATCCACCCCTCTTAAAGTTGCTAAGGTTGAGAAATACCCACCTAGAGGGACCCTGATCTATAAGCCGTAGTTCCATCTTGCCAAGGTTCACTTTAAGCCTGTTGACTCCCATCCAACCCAGGACAAAACTTTGACAGCAGTGTGACCAGGGTTGTGATGTACAGTTGGGTATCACATCAGAATATTGATGATACCAGACCCTGAAGTGCTGGATGACCTACCCCAGCAGCTCTATGTAGACATTAAATAACGGGCAGAGAACCAAACCTTGCAGCACCCACAGAAGAGCACCCACCAGGCAAACCTCTCCTTCCCCATCATCACAGGCTGCTCAGAGAGGAGTAGAACCACTGTAAAACCATGCCTCCAACCCCTGACCCCTACAGCCAGTCCAGAAGGATACCATGGGTTATCTCACAAATAATATTTGTAACGTATCATTAAACATAATCCCCCCCCCCCGCAAAATGGCTTATATATCTCTCTGGTCAGCCATTTACAAGCCTGCACTTAACCCCTGATGTGCACTGATGCTCCCATGCGCCCTATGCTGCCCTCGAGAAGTCCCTGTCCCTCCTCAACTACTTCTAAGTGAAGAGAAAGACAGGCGCAATTCTGTTCCCAGAGCCTGCCCTTAACTCCAGAGCTTCTCTAGTGTAGTCCCTAGTAGGAAAATCACTCTGCCCATGAATAATGCTGACCGTGATACTCCAGGTAGCGCTAAAACCCCTCTCTGAAACCAGATGGCCCAAAGATCTGCGGCCCAGGAGTAAACAGTCTTGCTACAACTTCTTCCTGAGTTGGAGCCTGTCCTGGTCCACAGAAGCATTATATTTATATTGTCTTGCTTGGCAAAAAGATAAGAAGGATTTTCCATCCAGCTGAGCACAGCACTTGCCACTCTTCTGTTGCCAGATCATCAAAAAGATTCACATAATCACGTTCGACTCACTTTGGATGCCAGAATGTTGCCTTTCTTATGCAGGGAACGATCTGTGTGTTTGTTTTCTAGCGCACAAGATCAGAGGCTGTTTGGAGCTTGGCACAACCAATTGATCTTAGGAAGCATTGCTCAGTTCCACTAAAAACCTAAACTGGTAGAAAATGGAAGTATTACACCTACTTTCCTCCCAGATGCTGAGAAACATAGTTTGAAGAAGTGTCTGAATTAGGTACAGATAGTCCTCGCTTAATGACCACAACAGGGACCGTAAAATTGGTTGTTAAGTGGGGAAGTCGGTAAGCGAGGCATGTGGTTGTTAAGCAAATTCAGCTTCCTCCATTGACTTTGCTTATTGGAAGCCCCCTGGGAAGGTCACAAATGGCAATCACATGACCCCGGGATGCTACAACTGTCATAAGTGTGAGCTGGTTGCCAAGCACCCGAATTTTGATCATGTGACCACAGGGACACTGCAACAGTCGTAAGTCTGAGGACCGGTTGTAAGTCACTTTTTTAGCACCACTGTAACTTTGGACGGTCACTAAACAAATGGATGTTAAGCGAGGACTACTTGTAATACTTTCTGCAAACAATATTCATTACAAAACGTTATGCATTTTTGTATGGATTTAACCCTAACGTACATTTTTAATTGGAGAACTACACTGCAAAATTTGGAAAACTCAACATTTTAAATAAGAATGGAGTTTCCAATTGTGTATCAGAGACAAACTATAATATCAGATAAGTTCAACGTCACAAAGAACCTGAACAAATTTCTCCCCACCCTGACCAAAAACTGGGAGAAGCAGGTATCAACTAGGGGTTGGATTTGGCTGCTTGTATACCGCAGACCCACAACTGGAACTGGACACAGCTTTTTATTTTTTGAACGACTCCCATCCCCTCATTTCTAGCCTCAAGACTTAGAAAGCAAACTTGGCAGGACTTAAGTTACGTCGTTTAAAATTTCAGAAGACACTGAGAGGTGGTGAAATACCAACAGGCTGGCCTGGGGGAAACCTCTGAGCGTGCGGCGGTGAACCCTATACCATCTCTGAAAGTTGAATATATTATGCAAACGAAGCAAAATTAGGCACATTTTAGTATCTATGGCAGTGTTTCTCCACCTTGGCCACTTGAAGATGGGTGGACTTCAACTCCCAGAATTCCCCAGCCAGCATAGCTGGCTAGGGAATTCTGGGAGTTGAAGTCCACCCATCTTCAAGTGGCCAAGGTGGAGAAACACAGATCTATAGGGTTTAGATTTGTGGGTGTATGGAGGAATGTCTTATATAAACCAGGTTTGTTACATCAGTCTCATCCGAAAGCTTGTTTCTGTCCTTCCCCAAAAACCTGGCCAGAGAAAGGAGACACATTTCACCTTCATTCAAGATCTCCAAGCAGCTCAGATTAGGGGCCTCTGAGCACATGCCAAGGACCTTTCCTGTCCTTGAAGCAAGAGGGCTGATGCAGCGTCCTCTTCTCAGCCTTTCAGCTACACCAGCAGGTCAGGAGGGCCGCTCTGAACCTGCTCCGATCCCCCTCCATTTCATCGGCTTTAAAGGAAGCCTCACACGACGGGGCCAGGACGCTCATTCTTATTTTATTGCCATCAAGCCATGGAGATGACATTCCAGGCACGCCACCAGGAAGTTCTCGCAGGGCGGCAGCCGATCTGAGCTCCGATGCGCTTCCTCCGTGTGACAAGTCCTCTCTCTTGGAGGGCGGCAGCTCGGAAGAGAATTGCGTTCCTGCCGGCTGCCCCCCACCCCCAGGAAGCCCTATCCATCCCCCTCCCCCAAACTTTGCTGACTTGGCTGTTTATTCCCGGCTCACCGCAAAGGCTACGAGCTGCATTTCTGCCCTGAGGCTGCTCACCCGAAACCCACAGCAAGTCCCGGCTGGTCCCTCCAAAGGCAAAAAGGCAGTTGAAGAGACAGGCGAGAAGCGCAGGGTGATCAAGAAGTGTTTGTGGAGGATCTGGCATCGCTTTCCACGGGACCCGTGGGAGCTTTCTGCAGCAGCCAACCCAGATCAGGTGCACTGCGCTGGCAGGAAGAGGGCAGGCATGTGGCACAGGGTAGTCTTCTTGGCCCTGCTCTCTTCTTGGGGTTGGAAGGAAGCAGGGGTACCCGCAGGATATGGTTGAAAAAGTTAAGGCGGCCGCTGTGATGGGCAATCAAAGCTCTGCCTGATTTTTATGGGTGGAGAAGAAGGAAGGAAGGAAGGAAGGAAGGAAGGAAGGAAGGAAGGAAGGAAGGAAGGAAGGAAGGACGGACTTCCACAAGCAGAAGAAGAGAGGAGGAACAGGAAGGAAACTCTGTCTCTTGCTGGTGGGGCACCCAGTAACAAAAAATCTGTAATGGTATGTGGGAATATGGAGTCCCAAAGCTGGATCAGGCCAAGAGCCATTTAGCGCAGCTCTCTGTGACTAATCAACATCCCAGATCCAGAAGCTCTCAAGTGTGGAGCAGAGGGAGGTGGCCCTCTTCACTACGTCTCTCCAACAGCTGGATTCAGAAAGAAGTGAGAAGCCATCAAGATAAGACTGGTAGCCTTTGACCATCTGATCCTCCTTGGACTGGTAACTTTTGAAATCATACAGTCGGTGGCTGGCCCTGCCCTGTAATGGCAGACAGTCCTGCAGTTTCCCTGCATGCTGTGCAAATGTGACTCTCTTTCAATCAACCATGAAACTCCCCACTCTTCTTTTTAGCACAGAACCCAAACTTCTGACATTGTGAGAACAAGCGAAAACGCCTCTCTTCCCAATTGCCCCCCTCTGCATGATTTTATATGCCCCCCCATGCCTCTTCCTTCCAAGCTAAAAATGGTGTAGCCTTTCCTTTTAAAGAAATCGCTCGCATCCCCAACTCACCTGGGTTGCCCCTTCTTGTACCTCCTCCCGAGGAACGACGCAATGATGCAACCCTTTCTTAGGGATCTGCCTTAGACCAAGGTGATTCCACTTCTGTCCAGCCTTGCTCACTGAATTTTACAAAGTTGAGTTCACCTAACTTAAGTGGATTATTAATTAATGTGGGTTGGACCCCAGCTCTCCATGGTCCTATCCTGACATTCTAACTAAGATCCCACAGAACGAACCAAGTTCAGATTCTTTCCCCATTTGGAAAGAGACGCCTCCTCTGGCACGCTAGGCTACACCAGTGAGCCAGGAATCGAGACTAAGACATCTCTCATCACTCACCGAGTCCAGTTGTACGTGGGTGGGGGGTTCCCATCGCCAAGGCACTTCAAAGAAGCCCCTTCCTTGCCTTCAATCCAGTCTTGCTCTGCCTCGTGACCCAGGATGGAGGCATCAGAGAGGTCTGTGTGAGGGAGGGAATATAAGGTTAGGTAGACAGAGGGGAGGGGGAAGAACTTCCCCATGTGGCACAGCTTGTGACCACATGGTAACCAGGCTCCTTGGGCTGAAGTTTCTCTGTGGAGAAGAAGCTAGTTGAGGAGTATGGTGAACGTGACAAAGCCACACACTTCCACAATGGATACCCCGGGGTCAAACCTGAAGCCAAGGAGGACACCCTCCTCATGGCTATAACTAGAGACAACAGGCAGGTTTCTGGCAAGGTTGGACCCCCACCCACCTACGCATATAAAGCCCAAGGGCCAGTCCCAAAGCCAAGTGGAATGTCATGGCAGTCTATGCAAGTGGCAAAGGAGGTTGGTCAGATTGTGGTGGGGGAGAGGCATGGGGGGCCCAGGTGAAGGCGAGAGCAGGTACCTACAGGCCACACTGAGGGTGTGGGTGATCCTCTTCTGGTGCTGCAGTCCTGGATGTGAAACCACGCAGGTCAAGGCCTTGCCATGCATGCTGCGCCCCGGGACCAGGTAGAATTCGCTGGTGACCGAGGCTGAGCGGGGGTGTGAGGACTGTTGGCTCTTGGCTGTGCCACGCACTTCGGTCTCCCAGGTCACAGTGGGCACGGGGTTCCCTTCCGCTGTGCATGAGGCAGCCAGCGTGCGGCCCTGTCCTTCCTCGAGTGGCGGGCCGAGGTTCAGGGTCGGCAAGGGGGGCACTGCAAAGAGATGGAAAACCCCAAAGGCGGCTTAGGAGAGCCAAAGGACCTGTTGATGCTACTGGACAGAGAAACAGGAAAAGGACCAGTTCACGTCCCAGAGCAATGCGACGAGGAAAAAGAAGAGAGGGCGGTCCTTCGGCAGGTCAAGGCAGCCTACGTAGCACCCCCTCCTCCAAGTTCTCCCCCCACCCCGCAAAACAATCCTGGGAGGTAGGTAGGACTGGCCCAAACTCAACCAGCGAACCTCTGTGGTCAAAGGTGCCCTTCAGCCCTAATCCAACACCATCCTCACTCCTGCCCACTCTTGCTGTCATCTTTCCCTTGAAAGCTTAAGGCAGTGGAGATGGGACCCTCTCTTCATTTTATTTTTCACAATTACGTCTGTGGTTCTTGGCCCAGAGTTACCTGTGAGTTCCAGGGCCAAGAGGGACTTGAACATGGTCCTCTTAGCAGTTGCATCACTCTGGCTCAGCTGGAGGGGACAAGATGGGGAAGGCTCCTTTCGATGGCACATTGGCCAAACTGGCTTCCCTCGGCCATCAGATGGCAGGTCCATGCTCAGCCTGCCATCTTGGCCCTCGATCAGCCAGGAGGGAAACAGCCTTCGCTTCCTGCCAAGGATGATACCATCCCAATCCCTCTTGCGTTAGAAGACCCACCAGTGTCCGCAGGGGCAGGGGGATGGCAAATGGCGAAAGCTGCATTGTGATGGTGTGATGTGAGCTGGGCCCCTTCTGTATGTGTGTTACAATGGTTGACGCTGCTTTTGCCATTTTGGTGAAAGTGTGGGATCTTGCAGTCGACAGAATATTCTGGGATGCAGAATGGGGTGCAATGAAGAGGCATTGCCAAAGAATCAAAGAATCGAAGACAGACTTCTAAATCACCACTCTAGAGCAGTGTTTCTCAACCTTGGCCACTTGAAGATGGATGGACTTCAACTCCCTTCAACTTGCAAGGCTGGCTGGGGAATTCTGGGAGTTGAAGTCCACCCATCTTCAAGTGGCCAAGGTTGAGAAACACTGCTGTAGATCAAGCTGCTTCGAAGTCCACCCATCTTCAAGTGGCCAAGGTTGAGAAACACTGCTGTAGATCAAGCTGCTTCGAAGTCCACCCATCTTCAAGTGGCCAAGGTTGAGAAACACTGCTGTAGATCAAGCTGCTTCGAAGTCCACCCATCTTCAAGTGGCCAAGGTTGAGAAACACTGCTGTAGATCAAGCTGCTTCAAACAGGTTGAAGATTCCCAGAGGTTCAAAGCCAGCCTCAGCCATGGAAGCTGACTGGGTGACTTTGGACCCACTCTTTCCATCAACCCAGCGCATCTCACAGGGCGGCTGTTGGGGAGAAAAAAATGGAGGAGGGAGATCTGGGTGTGCCATTTTGAGCTCCTGAAAGGAAAGCAGGAATAAACCTGATGCATAAAAATACACCAATCCTTACGGATCGATGCCATGCCTGCACCCAGCCATGAAGTCCGGCCATTTGGAGAAAGGAATGTTACAAAATCAGAGTGGTCTAACTTGAGTCCCAGACCTTCCCAAATTAGTATTTGCAAGATACTGGTGTGTGTGTGTGTCTGTGTGCGTGTATAGGGCTGACTGGTATAAAGCACCTTATTTTTCATGCTCAAGGGTCTAGAAAATAGGATGCCTCCATTTCTCAGTTCTGAAATGTAGTTTCTAGCCTCCAGGGGTTGGGGGGAAAGAGGGGGACAGACTTCGACGACCAAGGGCTGCCCAGGTCCAGCTTCACCTGCCCTCTTCCAAAAGCCCGTTAAAACTAAGCTGCCATGATATTTACGCAGCTTATTCATCTTGGAGGCAAGAGGAGATTGTAATTGCTATAAAATCATGACTACTTTTAGCACTATAATTAAATTCAGGTCTGGGAAGGGACCTGGGGTGCACCAGGAAGGGCCCACGGGCCCACCCTTAGCTAGGAACACCGTGTTGCTTCCTTTGGGGCACAGGCAGAACTTAAACAAGTGGGGAGTGCCCCAAACAGTGGCACAGCTTGTTTCTCTGGGCACATGGAGGAAGCTATCAATCCTGGCATGAGGAGGCCAGGTGTCAGTGAAGCTCCCGGCTCAGCCACATCCATTCAGAGGGCAAGGAGAAGCTCAGATGGCGAAGGACCATGATCACGATAGCAAGGATTAATCCAGTCCTGCGTAGTTTATGACAGGCTGGCGCATCAAGGAAACGAACCAGCATTATCCTTCCTTGGGGGTTAGCAGCCGGTGGGCAGGCAGGCAGTTGACCCTCACTGAGGGCTACGGCTCAGCGAGACCTGGGGCTGAAGCTCCTCAGGTGCCCTTACCTAGAACCTTGAGGGCGAGGCGGGACTCGAAGTTGCCCAGGGGAAACGTGATGAGCTGGCACTCGTATGCGCCCTCATCGGCCTGCACCGCGTTCTTCAGCAGGATGGAGCCATTCACCAGAGATCCTTGCGACTGCCGCAGAACACGTCCCACGTAGGCATCTTGGACGTGCACCCCGTGCTCTGAATTCAGCACCGCTAGCTCCACGTCCTGCCCATTGTCCCCTCGCTTCACCCAGGTGACCTGGAGCACCTTCTCGCCCTCCGTGGCCTGATAGGCACAGGGGAGGACCACGTCTTTGCCAAACACCGCAGTCACACTGTTCCAGGGCTCCAACACTCTTGCCAGCACGCCTGGGGAGACAGGACAAAGGAAATGCGTGAAGTTTGGGGGTCTCAGACTCAGTCACATGAAAATGGCCCGAGAAAGGAGACGGGAGAGAACTGATTCAATCCGACCTGCTCGAATCGATATATAAGCCAAAAGTGAGTTTTCATTCAGAATGCATGTTTTTAAAATCATGCAATGCAGTTCTCAAAAACAACCATACTAGGAAAAGCCTGCAGGAAAAATGCATAGGTTCAGGAAACTCATGGACAAATTGTGTCGATTTGGAAAAATGCTTGCAAAAACTGTGCACATTGGGCAAAATTGCAAAGAATAAGGGTTTGTTGTTTTGTCTATTGTTGTTTTTTTGGAGAAATGTGCACCAAAACTTGTGAATATCTTCTAAAAACAAAAAATCTTAAGTTCCACCAACCAGCTTGACAGATTCACAGAAATGAAACTGGAGGCCCTGACAACATGAGGATAGGAAACAGAAGAATGCAATGGTTTGCCACTTGTTTTTAACACATCTAAATGCTCTCCGGCTGCATTTATGCAATACATGAAGAAATCCTAAACCTGGGTTAAGAAACCACCCTTGTTATGCTCATAGAAGATACAGGTAGAACTTCACTTAATGACTGCCCTGTTTAGTGACCATTCAAAGTTACGATGGTGCTGAAAAAGGAACTTTACAACCAGTCCTTGCATTTACAACCATTGCAGTGTCCCTGCGTGATCGCCATTTGCATGCTTCACAACCAGCTTCTGCCAAGCAGAGTTAATGGAGAAGCTGGCAGTAAAGTCATGGTGACGTGATGTCTTACTTAAGGACTGCAGGTGATTCGCTTAATGACTGCAGCGGAAGTGAGGTTGTAAGTCTGTTGCAGTCACATTATGTTTCGCTTAGCAACCACAGCACTTAGCGATGGAGTTGCCGGTCCCAATTGTGGTTGCTAAGCAAGGACTACCTATACTAAATCCAGTGGCTTCACAAGGTGGCCTGGATCACACAAGACTTTAAGATAAGGGGTAGGTTTCCACAACACTCTAAACCACAAATTCTGTAGTCTCATTTTGCACATTGTGCAACCCCCAACCAAGCTAAGGTTTGCATGATACAGATCCTGCAAGCAAATGGTGGAGACAAGACTGAGGCAGGATTGGGCAAGAGGAAGGATGACTCCTGATGAACACAAAAGTCAGAAGGGATGGTCCCACCTGGAGTCCTCCAAATGTGTTGGACTACAGTTCCCATCTTCCTAGGCCAACAGGGCCACGCCCAACACTGCTGCGGGTCAATGCAAGTTGCCGTCTGTGTCATCGGGAGGGCATGTGTGTGGGAAAACCCTCTGCGCAAGAAGGCCCCCTTGCCGTCTGAGCGGGTCTCGGTTCACTCTGCGTGCACTTTCTGGCCCACCCCTCTTCCTTCCTCCTTCACGTCTGGCCCCGCCTGCAGTGCAGGGGGAGCTCCTCGCAGTTGGCTGCAAGCTGTGCCTCCAGGAAAGTGGACAGGCCGGAGAGTCCAGTTCAACCTGTCTGTACAGATGCCAAAGCTTTGCCCTGGCTTGTGTGGGATCCTGCCCCTCCCTCTTCCTGCAAGCTTGCTATCGTTTCTTCCGCACACCAGCAGGAGTGGTGTGTCAAGCTCCTTGCAAAATCAGAGTATCTGCCAGGTACCTGTGAAAACAGTTTTTGGGGGTTTTTGTTTTGTTTTTAAATGTTAAGGCCCGTTCTTTGAAATCTGCAGCTTCTAATTCCTGCTAAGACTGGAGCTGCTTCTCCCATTGCTCTTCTTGTTCTAATCTGTTTTCCTCTGCCTTTTTTTCAGATACTGCATTCTTAAGAAATCTATTTTTGGGATGGGTCATGTTGTCATTATCCCAGCAATAGCTGGTTTTCAAATTTGCTTTTTCTTCACTTTTTAAAAATTCCTTTGTAGAGGTAGTCCTCGACTTATGACCACAATAGGGGCTGGAAAATTCGTTGTTAAGCAGTGCATCATCAGGAGAGGTATTACGTGAATGCACCCGATTTTATGACATATTTTCATGGCGGCCGTTAAGCGAATCACCATGTTGTTAAATGAATCATGCAGTCGTTAAGTGAACCATGCAGTTCCCCATTGATTTTACTTGTCGGAAGCCGGCTGGAAAGATCGCAAATGGCAATCCTATGACCCCAGGATGCTGCAACTGTCATAAATACAAGCCAGTTGCCAAGCGCCTGAATTCTGATCACATGATTGTGGGGACACTGTGACGGTCGTAAGTGCGAGGACCAGTCATAAGTCACTTTTTTCAGTGCTGTCATAATTTTAAATGGTTGCTGAAAGAATGGTTGTAAGTTGAGGACTACCTGTATGGGTTTGCTAAGAAGAAAAAAGCCAGTGGCATACAGTGCTATGCAGGATCTTTTCTTCTTCTGCCTGCACTGAATTCATTGCAATCAGACTGCAGTCCCCCACAATACTTACATGTTGCAAAGGGACAAAAGCAGAATGCATCTGTGTGGCTGGCAAGTGAAGCACATGGCCACTAACCCCCTTTTATTCATCGAGGCTGTACATTCAGCCCCCAGGCTTAAAGCAAAGCTAAGGAGCTGGGGGTGGCGCTGACCAACATTGCTTGTTCAAGGCTGGGTCTGTGCTGTGGTGGTACGGGTGACCAACTATCAGCACCCCACTGCTCTTTTGCATCTGCGGACTCTCATCCAGTGGCATTCAGTGTTTCCATTGCGCTGTCTCAAGCCTTGTACTAAATCAACAGTAACTACACGACAAGGTTAAAGTAGGGTTGGGCGGTTTTGGTTGTGTAAAGGTGTAATATGGTTTGTCTGGGCAGAGCCTGGCCGGTGAACGCAACAATTGCATTTTGTTAATGCACGTTAAGGACTTGGCACAGTGTTTCTCCACCTCCGCAACTTTAAGATGGGTGGGCTTCAACTCCCAGAATTCCCCAGCCAGCATGGCTGGCTGGG